CCCTTGTAATACTCACAAAGATTTTATCAGCTTTGTCTGTTCATAGACTTTGTTGATAGAACCTCATGCTCTTTACAAGCAAAAAATGCTAATTAATTAAGTCTCACAGCATCCATTTTATGTAGAAAAATGACATCCACTTTACAGATAGGGAATGTCATGAGTTCATGGAAGTCAAATCAAGGTCATAGAGAAATCAGTTGTAGAACTGCCACTGAATTCAAGATTTATCCAAAACTACAGTAAAGCTCAGGTCGAACCGAGAGGAGTCAAATTTTAATTCTTTCTCCAGATTCACAGTACCAGGCACTAACTTCTAGCTACATTTTGCATTATCAATGGCTTAGTCTTTTTTTTCTCCCTTGGATTGTTGGTTGCCAACACTGTTCACTTTGTGAAATAAACCAGTAACTTATAAAGGAATTAAGAGAAAAAATTAGTAACACAGGAGTTAAACTAAACTGCTCTGATTCTCATCAGAGCAATTCCATGGTGTGGTTGCTCTGACAACTGCATCCATTGCAGAGAGATTTATTTCACTACATTTCATCTGCTTCATATCTAGTCTTATTCTACGATTTTTCCACAGTGTAAACTAGTTTAGATTAAGAGCAAGTGAGGTAGAGACCTTTCACTTGGATGATTTTTTTTTAATCCAGGGTTCAAAGGACTAGTGTTAAAGAAACAAATGTTTTAGACATTTTTGAGGCCCTATAGACTACATATTTTCTAAATATTTTTTAAGCATTGAAGAAACATTAATTTTAATATTTCTATTATATATTCATTACATCATGGGGTGTGCGAAGGTATTTCAGCAAATCTTTCTTTTGCTCTTTTATTAGCTAGTCTACAGCCAATAAAAAAATAAAGGTCAAGTATGAAATATTGTGGAAAAAAGGTGACTATTGTTGGGGTTTTTTTTAATTATACTTAAAACATGCATTTTAAACATGCACTTGCACTTGTCATGCTTGAACATCTAAACAGACACACAGTGAAAATTTGCTCTCTAATTTATGTATTCTTATGAAGATTCTTGCTAAGCATCCACAGGTTATCTCCTCCACAATAATTTCACTGGAAATTTAGCACCGTGGAAGTGATGTAGATAATTTCCATGTTCTTTAAAGCTTGCTTCTTTTTCATACCAATTATCCACAAGCATTTGGTTAATGAGTAGATACCTGCTCTAGCTCTTTCTACAAAGCAATGAACTGCAAATAAACTACATAATTGTTACTTCCTGATCCTAGTGCTGTTATGCTATAGTTCCAATTTTAATAGCTTTCCTTTAACATGTTGTGTTTACAGGCCAAGGTGTGCCATTCATAAAGTGATGTATTATATAAGCAGGAATGTGCTTTATCTTCACCTGAAAGCATATACACTTTTTTGGTTACATTCAAATTCCAAAGGCATTTATATCATTGATTTCAATCCACTCAACAGTTTTGACATTTTGCTCAAATTTTGTTTTTATTAAGAGATAATGGAAATCACATTTTTTCAGCATTATTTTGTATTTCTTCCCAAACCACATATGTTATCTATTTAATTAAGAGGCCACATTTGTTAAGGCTCGTATCTTCAGGTAAACACTGACAATGTGAATTACTCTCATGTAGAAATTGTCTGTACACTGAACAAAACTCAGAAATAAATTTTTATGTATGGAAAATTTTGTCAGGTTTTAAGATAGAAGCATGGTTTGGAATGCTGTTTAGTGATAACCCCACACAGGCAGGTTTATTTAGTCCCAAAACAGCACTGAGTTCTCTGTCTCCCAGCTTCACACTATTACTGGACCATGCACACCAGTAAACTCCAGTGTTTCACTACATTCACTTGCACCATATATTTTGGCTTCTCACCACACAGTGTATACAGCTGATTGAGAGCCAGGTTTGACACCTATCTTAATACTGGATGGCTATTCTCTCCTAATTGACTTTTCTGAACCCCAACTAGTGAGTTTCAGCTGGAAGACAGTGTCTAGAAGCTTGTATTCTCATTTAAATAGGTGAGCCTATTAAACATAGCTCCTTTGTGTAGATGATGAGATTGAGGCGAGTTATAACTCAAGTAGAATGTGTAGTTAATTGTGCAGTGAAAACATGCTACTAAACACCAATACCAATCTGAAAACCACTTAAAACCCTAGCTGAATTTTTCTCACTGCAGCTAAAAGAACTGGAATGGTTTTAATTTAGACCCTGACAGAGAGCAAAGAGGACGAAGGTAAATGAAAAGAAATATGTTTTTAGCTTTCTTTAAAAACAAAATAAAACAAGCTCTTCAGACTTTCACATCTTCCAATCAAAGAATTAATTAAGGCATTATTTAAATTGACATACATAAATAGTGCAAAAGATTGCAAGAACATTTACTTAATTAAAAATGAGGCTTATTTTATAAACCAGACTTTAATTCAGCTCAAAGAAATCCAAACTAATTAGAATTGGTGTATTTCCTACGTTTATATAAGGCTCTGGATTCCTCTGAAAAGCTCCTTACTTATGATCTCTGAGTATAAGGTATTACCTGATATAACCATTGGCCATATTTTTTCAAGAAATCATAAGCAGAGCACTCCATTAACCATAATGAAGCAGTCTATTAAGGAAAAAATGGTGTCATATGACTATTCTTTTCAAGAAGGCTTGGAAAGAATTATTTATTTATTCTCATTGGGCAACACATATATTCATGATATCTTTGGTCTCAGTTTAGCAATTTCTGCTACGCTGCTATTTTTTGCCTCACCTTCACGGAGAACTCATTTGCAGGCAGCAACAAATGTGAGTGGAGAAACAGGTATGATTTAAACTTTCTCAAGTTAATACAGCTCTTGGGTTAATTATTCTTTGTGTAAGCAAAACTATAAAATGGAATTACTTTTCTGAGAGTGACTTAAACTCTTTTTCTTTACATTAGCAACCAAATTATTTCTTCCTTTTTTTTTTTCTTTAAGAATAATATGAAGTTGACAAAAGTCAGAAGTAAGCTCAACAAAGAAAATAACAAACTGAAGTTTTCCCATAGTTTTTTAATATTTGGAAATGCCATTCTCAGAAATACAGCATGTGTCACACCAGGGTACCCAGAGCTCTGATTGGCCTACAATGATTTATTACAAACAATATTTCTGTATCCTGGCAGTTGCTGGAGCAAGGCTGTGCTTGAGGTCTATACACATACATATTGGAATTAATGAAGTAGCAGCTTATGCTGTTGCAAACAGCTGGGGGTGCTTAACTTGTTTTTCTCTACAGAATTTTTGGATTTCATTTGTTTCTGGCTGTTATGGAATGCAATAAAAGGGAGAATGGTGAATGAAGAGAAATGAAGATATGCAAAAGCAGCAAAATCTAGACCTAGGTGAACAAAATATGCTCCTCTGATAACACAGATAAATTTATTTTGATATTTTACGTTGTCTTATTAGTTCTGCTTTCCCTCCAAATGCTGTATGTGATGTCAATAAGATTAAGGATAACTAGAAATATGTCTGCAAAATACACTAAGCAGCATGATACAGACCTTCAAACTCCTGCTGAATCAAATCTGTCTCAAAACCAGAAGAAAAATAAAAACGGGCTTTTAGCTGGGACAACATGTTCCTAATGTGGTCCTATTATTTCTAGACCTGCGATATTATTGTGTCCAGAGCTCTTAAAAAACTTGGCACCGCATTATGCTGTGAGGATATGACATCTCTGATTTGCATCTCATCTGGAATTATTTTCCTCTTAAAACCACTGTTGTATATAAGCTGTACTTACAACAGCAGTTTATTTGTGATAGTTACTGTGTGCAGCTCTACAGGTCCAATGCATTCTTAGGACCTCTATGTTCTCACTTTTAAAGTTCTTACCAAAAAAATTAAAATAATGGGACAATAAATGTAAAAGAGTGCACCTGAGAACAGATTTTAATAGTACTCCATCCAATTACAGCAGAACATGCAAACAGCTCTGAGCTGCTGCTGGGGAGCACTTGTTAGGATCAGAAAGAGAGAGGCAAAGATGGGTGTTTTAGCAGCTGAAGAGAGGTTGAAGGGCAGCTGCAGAAGCTGGAACATATGTGATGCTTCATGTAGAGACTGTGGGCTGTGCAGCTGCTTAATTCTCTACGGAATGTTCCTTTTCTCATGAATATTCCTTTATTCACTGCATCTCCTCCAAAGGGGTTGGCAGTGCCACACCATAGGATCCTGTCTAGTACTCTTCAGAATCTCCCATGCTACAGCTTTTTAAGTCAGCTAGAGCTCTGAAATGATTGCTTATAGCTGGGACATGTTTTGATTGCTCTCCTGTCTTCCTTAGGCTATTCAAATGAAGGCAGCAGCTGCATTTTGCCATTCACAGTCATTTATGCCTAAAGGCTCATGTTTCCTGTCAAAAGTTGGAAACAGCAATTGTATATGATTTTTGTTCTTTAGTTTAGTCGCACATCACCGATACGTTTTCATAGCATTTTCCATCTAGTAATGACTTTATTGATCCATTCTTCAGTCTTTCATCTTTCCTTGCATCTAAGCACATTGTGACAAACTTCCACTGATCATTTTGTACCTTGAATTGCACATAAGTATATATTATAGAGCTATTCAATAATCACTCAGTATCAACAGGCTTACTATACAAGGGCCCAAGACAGCCAGACATTCTTAACTCTCACTGGAAATAATCACAGTTAAAAAGGCACAGAACTAAGCTGCTACCATCTGCTTGGTCTGTTTCCCATTGCATATTCAAAATGAAAAAAAAAAAGAAAAAATTAAAAAAAAAATAAGAAAACAAGGAAGAAAAATAAGCTTATGACCACAACAGCAAATAATTAAAAAATTCCTTTCTTTTTTAATAAGAATATAAATTCATGTGCAGTGATTGTAACATTTAAATTTATTTATTGAAGACATATATTTTCACAATCACTTTGTTCTTACATTCTAGACATCCTCATCAAGATGAACAGTAATATCTAAATGTACTTACTTTACTCTGATATACTGTCCTTTTTTTCTCTCATGGTTTTCCAAAGAATCAAACATATTTATGTTGAAACTAAATCTTCTTTTACCGCATCCATGCTTTCAGTTTCTATCACATTCTACTGCGACGCCCACAGTGCTGGATTTCTAATATTGCTAATATCTTAGTGTGTTCCATAGCAACACACTAAGACATCATAAACTTGGCATTAAGGCTTTATTCCTAGATTAGGTCTAAGGAGGAGCTGATTTCAAAAGGCAGCTCTTATTAAAGCATACATATACATAATAATCAAAAGTAATTGCCAGTGGAATACAGATAATGGCCTTCAGAATTCTGTGAATTAGTTTTACAAAAAAGTTGTTCCTTTTCAAATCTGACCAAGAACAAAGACCTTGTTTTGTTAGTGATATTCAAAATATATTTCCCCAGCCATCCTTAAAGAAAGCACCATATAATCACAGGGATTCAATTACTAAGAAAGATAATATTACTCATATTTTTCAAATGCTGGATTCAGTCCATTACTCAGTGGATACAGCACAATGTAAAATGGGGGCTTTTTACTTGCAAACATTAAGAATGCACAAATGAACACACTGAATGAATAAATGAATGAGAAGGAACTCAACTTCAAATGCTGCCAAAATAATTTTATCAATAAATCTTTTTACTTTTAAGCACAAAATGTAATATGTTAAGTAGAATACATATCATTTGGACAGCATTCTGGCACATCTTATGATATATAATGACTAAGGACAAATGGGCTCCACTTGTTACTTCCTGGCTGAAGTCCTAACTAAAATTGTTAAAAGAGGATAATGAAAAAACCCATATACAGGTTGTACTACCACATATCTTGCAAATGGTTGAATATCTCAGAAATAAAAATGCTATTTTAGGAGTAACTAAATCTTCATTGGTTTTACTCTGTACACTTTTCATTGGCAACAGTAATGATCAAAGAGGAAAATACTTCTACTCTTTTGGTCTCAACACAGGTTTTCTTTGGGGTTCATCAGGAAAACAGAACATCCAGTTCTCTTGATTATGAAGTAGCATGTGGAAAAGGAAAATCCACTTGTCTATTTCTAAGGCATTCAAGAAGGTTACTCTTACCTAGATAATATCTCTAGATAATAGGGAAGGTTTTGCAAGAGTGAATTCAAAGTTAAAAAATCCCCGAACAGTAAAAAAGAATGAGCAGCTTTCAGCAGAGAATACCTAAGGATCTGCACTAGTACTTGCTTTGTTTAATATATTCACAACTTCTCTGAGGAGGTGAAGAAAGGTCATTGCAAATACAAGAATACAAGGTCATTGAGAATAGTACACAATTTCAGAGGAAAAAACTGAACAATTATATCATAAAATGGCACATAAAAACAGGTGTAGAAAGATAGCGATGCATACGGGGAAAAAAGTGAATTTCACATACAAAACAATGAATGCTATATTTTTTCAGGAGTGGTTTTCACTACTTTGACTCAAAGCTCTGGAGCAGTGGAAATAAATGAATTGAAGACAAGAAACAATAAGAAAAGGAATAAAATGGAAAACAATGCCATACCGTCATTAAAATGCACCGGTGTCTTGAATACCATATGCAGTTGTATTTCATCTCAGTAAATTTATGGAGTAACTGGGAAAAGTCCAGAGAAAAGTAATTGGCATGGCTTGAAACTAGAATTCTTCAGTCTGGAAACAAAACAGTTTATAGGAAGAAAGATGGACATCTATATACTATGAAAAAAAGTGAAGAGAGGCAAGAGGAAAACAGCAATTAACAGTCTTTTCCAGTATGGAAGATAAAATTAAACAAGAATACAGATTGTAGGTGCAGGGACCTTTGGAAGAAATGACCAGGAGGGAGAGGTTAACACCCAGTCAAAGAAACTTTTGCTGCCAGGAAAAAGCTTTAATGTGGGAAGGAATTTGTTCTCATGAAGGATGCTGTGTATATTTTCTTTGTCTGTCTGCTGGGAGGTAACTCCCCTGCTATAAGTGATAAAATTCTCACAGGCATGCTTGGAGGCTCCCACAGGGGGAGAAAACAACCTGGGGTTTTATTGCCCATACAAAAGGTGTTGTTATAAAAGCATCAAAATGGGGTTTCCCTTTCACCTTCTCAGCCACCTGTATTCATAATATATATATATGTATGGCAGTGTTCTCGGCTGTTAAAATAAATTTTCTTTAAAACTGTGGTGGATATTTTTTGGTTTGCGGTGGTTTTTTGTTAGTTTTGTTGGTGTTGTTATTGGGGGTTGTGGTGGGTTTTTTCCTTTTTTTTTTTTTTTTTTTTTTTTTGTTGTTGTTTGGTTTTGGTTTTTTGTTTTTGTTTTGTTTTGTTTTGTTTTTTAGTTGGTTGGTTGGTTTGGCTTTTTTTGTGACTGCATGGTTATATGTTTAAATAATCAGTGGAATTTCTTGCTGTAAGATCTTGTGGACACAAAATCTCATCTGGGTTAAACCTTCCTAGAACTGAACAATGCAAGGACTTTTAAAAAAGATGAGAAAATAACATGGCCTAAAGAGTATCTGAGGCACAAACTGTGGGCTGGAAGAAGCACATTGAGAGTTCAGGCTAACATCCTGCCTTGCCACAGCATTCTCTTTTCATCTCTCTGTCAGAGGTGGCTAGAGTCTCTCCTGGGCTGAACTCATGTAGCCACTCTTTCTTACAATCTGTCTACAATCTCTCCAGCAAGTACTACTCCTCTTCTGCCACAACAGGACTGGAAGTGTTCTGTATATTTCTGAGAGAGCAGAAAGCCCGTGATCTGGCCATACAACCTTACCTCCACACCCAGAGTTCTCTTGCCTTAGCACACCATTGTCTGTTATTTGTTTACTCATTTGTTTTCTTTTCAATTCTTTATTGTTGCTCCTGGGATTCAAATAATCATACCAACCACACTGAGCAATTTAGATGAAAGAGGGAAAGAAGCAGAGAACACTCTGTAGGAGGACTGGGTGTACAGTTTCACAGACTACAAGACTCAGTGGCCAAACCCACTGTGAAATCTCATACAAAGAGCCATGGCTTTTATAGAATCATAGAACAGTTTGGGTTTGAAGGGATCTAAAAGATCACCTAGTTCCAATCCCCCCACTGTGGACAGGGACATCTTCCACTAAGCCAGGTTACTCAAAGCCCCATCCAACCTGGCCTTGAACACTTCTGGGGTGGGGTATCCACAACTTCTCCAGGCAAGTTGTTCCAATACCTCATCACCCTCACAGTAAAGAATTTGTTCCTAATATCTAATCTAAACTGATGTTCTTTCAGCTTGAAGGCATCACCCCTTGTTGGAGACAGCTCCTCTCCAGATTTCTTGTAGGCTCCCTTCTGGTACTGAAAGGTTGCAATAATATCACCCCAAATGTTCTCTTCTCCTGGCTGAACAATTCCAGTTCTCTCAGCCTTTCCTCGCAGTAGATACACTCCATCCTTCCAGTCATCTTGGAGGCCCCCCACTGGCCTTACTGCATCAAGTCTATGTCCTTCCTGTGCTGGAGACCCCAGAGCTGGACACAGTACTCCATGTGGGGGTCCCATGAGAGCAGAGGAGCAGAATCACTTCCCTCAGTCTGCTGGTCATGCTTCTTTTGATGCAGCCCAGGTGCAGGACGTTGCACTTGACCTTGTTAAACCTCATGATATTCCCATGGGCCCACTTCTCAAGGTAGTACAGGTCCCTCTGAATGGCATCCCATCCTTCAGAGGTTTCAATTGTATCGCTCAGTGTGGTGTTGTCTGCAAACTTGAGGAGGGTATCTTTGTGTTTATAACACACTACTGTCAGTGTCAGTGGCTGGCATTTCCAAACGGATCTACTGTATTTTCTCATGCATTACTGGATGTCTCTCTAGACTCCTATGAAACTTTTAAGTGCTGTTACTTCATATATGTCTTGAATTTTTTTTTTTAATAGCAATATGCCCCTCCACAGTGTTAGAACTACTTGTGCCAAGCTCAGGCTCAGGAAGAATATAGGCCAGTGGCCAGCAATCTGCACTTTTTCCTAAGGTACAGTGTCAAGCAAATGCAAAACTAGAGAAATACTACAGTTTGTGCTTCCTGTACTGCAGTGTGGGAGAAAGTACCTTTAGGCACCATATTACCTGGAAAGTGAATTCTTGCCTACAAAGCCAAAATTTTAAGTTGTACCTTACAAATTGTAACCAAAGGAATAATTCAGTAGGCAAGACAGAACGAAGTCCCAACTTCACATTTATTTAGTCTATAATTTGTCCTTGTTCCAACACGCATGAAGGGAACAGACAACTCCTTTCTTCTTTCAGGAAAATGAAACAGTAATTTTTCACTGTCAGGAACAGCATATTAGTTAACCATTAATTAAAACATGTCAAACAAGGTTTTTAACAGCTAGAAACCTTTGTTTTAATGTTTGAATTTTATCTGGCAGACTTATAATTTCAAACACACTGAAGGAAAGTAAAACCTAGAAAATGTCCTGGAAAAGAGAATTTCCAGTTATACATGTTAATAACCTTAATTTCTTTGGATTGCAGTTAGTATTTTATGTGGGGACATGAAAAAAGTGTTGTGTTTTTTTTCTTTCAGTGTTCTTTCAAAATAAATATTTTTGCACGGCAAAACAAGAACATGAATTAATAAGCAGGATAAAAAAATTCTTTTTCCCAGTTTCCTATTTCTGCATCTTTGTGATATTTAGCAATTTTTTTTGCTTTTCTGTGTTTATAATTTAATATTTCTGCTATAATTTAAACTTGTCTTTATATGTAAATCTTTGAGTAGCATGGTAAAGGTGATTTTTCTTTGCATTTCAGATACTATATGAGAAAACCTTACAGTTCACTTCACTACATATATATTCTTTTCAAAATGAGACCTTAAAAGATTTTTTTCTATCTGCGTGGATTAACTTGTTTCTTCAGCTGAAAGTATGGAAGTATTCTGGCTAGATATAACACTTCTGGGGCTGAACTTCATTCTCTACTGAGATGCTATGCCTGGTCTTGGTTGAGTTCCAAGGGACTTCTACTTTTACCTGCTTGGGAACCACATCAAGATTTAAACCTGATAGCCCTCCAGTTTAAGAACAAGATTATGTGCCTAAATATGACAGAATTCCAGAATTTGATAAAAAATGAATTTGCAAAGACACTCAGCAGGGTGCTGAACATCCAAAACTAACAGTGCTTGGACTCGTCACCAGCTACTGTTTCCAACAGGCACTCAGTAAAACTACATTCCTTGGCATTAATTCTGCAGAAGTAAAAAAATACCAGTTATGTAACTGTAGTTTTGTGGTTCATTCACCAGAACCACTGTAATGGACTATAGGGATTTTGAGATAATACTGTGATTGTACTTACAGTGTCTCCTTCGTTTACCATGAGCACAATGCTATTCCAAAATGTGTGGGATTTTTCCTTAAAACTAAGCAAAATGAGAGGAAAATCATGCATGTACTTCCACATTTTTTCTATTTCACACTCAGTGCAGCTCTTTTCCTTAAAATGTCAAATACTGGCTCTCATTTGGCACTACTCTTTCAGCATATTTAGTTTTGTGGACAAGTGTTTTACTTTTGCAGATAGAAACAGTTTTGCTATGCTGCTGAAAGGAGTTTTGAAATATAGGTACATATTTTGCATGGCTGTCATATATGTACTTTCAAATGCTTAAAATAGGACCCTCTCTCTTGAATTTCACATAGATTTATGAGCTGTTGACTCTTGTACTCCACTAGAAGTTAGCTACTACAGGACTGTAACAGGCTCAATGCCACACAAATTACCATTTCAGATTACCATTAAAACAATTGTTTTCTCACCAAGACTTGTTCAAAGCACAGAAAATGCAGACAATCAATTAGATTGTTTTCATTGTTCTTATTTCTTAAACTAACCTGTATTCTCAGTGACATTTATGCAGTTAACCATAATATGCACTTTTTCTTTTCTGTTGGTCTTTAATGGTTATTTGTTGATTCTGTTATATTCAAGTGATAAATGTTTCCTGCATTATCTTGCATTATTTCACCTAAAAAGGTCATGACACTCCTTTGGTTAGCAGTTAGTTGAAAGTCCACTACAATAACTCATTTATTGTGGTATTTGTCACTGATACGGAGATAGTGCTGTAAAAGCTGATGCATTTGAAGCTTTCCTTCTTTTTCCTGAAGAGGTGATTTCCCCCCTCTAATAGCTCAGTACCTCTTTCTGCTCAGTAACAAAGTGAATGAGAAGACAGGTGAGCAGCTAAAATAAAAGATCCTGCAAATGAAGAGAATCCCAATGGAACAGCTCACTTAAAAATCACAAGCAGATTTCAAAGCATTGGCTTTAAAAATAGACCCAAACAGGATGAATGAGCTTAACTCCCACAATTTATATTTAGTTTAAATATTTTGACAGAGTTTTTAGTTCAGAAAGATTTTTCTTTATTTCTGTGATAATGGGAAGGGTAATTAAATACTTTGTCTACCTTAGTGAGAAGGCTCATCTTGTCTGACTGGTTTTTGATAAATATCAGGAGCACAGACTGGAAAAAAGTGAAATAACTAATAGTTAAACTTACTTACAGCTGAAATGTATGAATCTTGTAACTGGAAGCTCTTATTGATGCAGTAGTCAACAGATTAGGTCATAAAAAATGTTTCCAGTTTTCTTTTGGTCAGAATAGTAATTTTTCAATATCTTGTAGGAATTTTTTGGCATGTTAACCTAGTCATCCCATACACCCAAATTCCAGTGAGATTTTCTAACTCAGGTACAGTCAACATCTGAAGAGAAACTGTTCCTCTAGATGAATATAAACTTAAAATTTATTTTTTCCTGATATTGGACTATAAAGGACATCTCTTGCCATGTAAGATTAAAAAATATCTTTCAGGTACAACTATTGTGGTCAATAAAGTACTTTTGTGCATTTCTGACATACTAATCCTTGGTAAGATAGTAATATGTTTTAGAGATAGCATTCCTATGTGCACACCTTAAAACATCTGTGGTTTAGTTTTCTCCAGTGGTTTGCATTTTTTGCAATAAATGCATTATTTCTACTACGCGTATTTTATGTGCTATTTAACTATTACAAAAATATACATACATTTCAATGAATGCAAGAAATCATACAATGAAGAAGATAAAACAGGAAACAGCCATCATGTTTCTTGGGTATTCACTTCTTTCTTTTTTCACTGAAGTTCACCTTCCAATATTGAGGTCCACTCTGTACTGGATCTGTATGTGGAGAGAACTGAGAGTATGCCAAGATGTCAGAGGACAGCAACTGGGAATGCGTATTACAGATGAAAGAGTTCAGTTCTCCAAGACTGACTGGCCTGTCCCCATAATAGCCAGAAACATGAAAGGTTTTTTGTTCAAACAGATAGGACTCAGTAAGTAAAATTCAAATTATTTACCTTCTTTTCTAAAATATTTGCTATTAACATCTGTATGCTTTATCAGAAATGGAATATTGAATACAGTATTTTTTTTTTTTTACGTAGTAAGTCATAAGTACAAAGTAACTTCTCTGTCTACAATACTATATAGTATCTTAAGGTGTTACGATCTGAACAAAATAATTTTGAATTGGTCTGTGCTACCCCTAGCTTCATTACTGATGCACATGAAAAGGATATGGCCTAGAGCAGAATAATTCTGGAAATTCTATGAGTTAACCTGAAAAAATAATAGACAAGTCTCTGTAATCAAGGCCTTCTTTTCCGAAAAATAAGGATGCATATGTATAAAACTTTAGTTTTGATACATATTCTATTTTTAGTTATAAAAATACAGAGATTGTTCAATTTTCATTAAATGTTCTTATATTGTCCTCATAAACTAAGGCCAAAGTTATATAGGGAAACTGTTACAAATTAACTTGCAACCTTTTGGAAGAACAATCAAAAAAAATCCAAAAGAGGATATAAAAAGTACCTACATTAAATTGCTTGTATTACTTTATTATATTAATAAATAACTGAAGACCGAGTAAAAATGGCTTTAATACAAAGAATTATACCCACTGCTCTTCTTAAGTAATTTTCTAAATTTTTAATAAAGCTACATAAATGAAAGAAACTTAAATTTCAGTGCTATATATAGTATACAGTACACGACTGGATATATATCTCTGATGTAATAATATTAATACCTTTGTTTTCAGATTAATTCAATCATCTCCCTGATGAAAAATTCCGGATGCTAATTTATAATCTGTCGAGAAAATCTATAGATTAAACTAGATTTGTGCAAGTTGCCTGTCTCTCACCTGTTTGACATTAAAAAACAATCTCATGAGAAAACTTTGTGGCTACTTTACAATTAGTCATAGCAGGTTGTCTTCTACGCAGGAAAGACACTAAATGTACTTTGTGCTACATATGGAATTTTATTAAATGTAGAAAAGACATATTTAACTCTGAAATATTTACTAGTACTGTTAGGTTTTTTATAACTTTCATCATTTGTGAGTACTTCTGTGCGTTGAGAATAGTAATGACCATAAGAAAAGTGGAAAGAATAAAATAATGTGGATTCTCTAGCTCCAACACAGAAAAAACTTTGATTAACTCCCATATATGTTTTCATGTATAAGTGAATTTCTTCACTTAGAAAACTAAATAACAATAATGAAATATTAAGGAATGGACTCTGCTCACTGTACATATCATTTGGACAGAAACATTTTGCAATGAATGCTTGCCAGAACACACATTCTTGTAAAACTTCTTTAAGAGTTCGGCAAAGTAAATAGCTTCACAATGTTAATATCAGAGAATCACCAGGGCACTGGTAGATTTAGACAAAACAAAATGTAAAAGGAGGGATTTTGGGCACTTCAAAACACAAGTTATAAATCTGCATGGCTATGATTCAGTTTGGTAAATATCATATAACACTATGTTTAGACATGGGAATATTTGCCATGAGATTTCCCTATGTGAAGCTAAAAGCTATATAGTCAATGATTCCTACTGTTTCAGTAATATGTGCATGACCATGCAAGACAGCGCCTAGTGAAAATAGAAAGATTTTGGCTGTGAAACAGAGAAGACTTTTTTTTTTTTACCAGAAGAATGTGCCCTACCACAGAAAAAAGAAATTAACTAGTGAAAATAAACCCATTAATTCACTCTAAAATTTCAAATATATAAACCCACTAATATAAAGGTAGATATTATACAATAAAAATTGTCAATGACAAAATCATTTAAATACTATTAATTTGAATCTAACCAAAATACCTTAGCTATACAGGTTCTTAAACAAATATTTAGAGAAGTAGAACTGTTCCCTTCTGATCCAAAAGTTTTAGCCAAAAATACCACGTTGTCTAGACAATATGGAGGTCTGAATATGAACATATTAATTTTTTTAAATTACTTTATTTTTTGAGTGATATGAAAAATAAAGTACAGAAATCATATATTTAGCATCACAATGACTTTTTTCATTACTTGTTCACTGATGAGCTTGAAATCTTCCTGATAAATTAACTGGAATCCTAATTTAAAATTATTCCAGATAGAGTAACTTTAAATTTGATCTCTCTGAACTACAGTGGATACTGACAGTTTTTTGGTTATTGAATCTGGTTGCATCATAAATAAATTAGGCATTAAAAATATTTTTATTTAAATTGAATTTGATTCGACTTAATGATGATGAGAATTCCAAGGCAGTGATGACAACACAGTGATGATAAAAGCCTTAATGCAACGTACACTTGCCTGCATAATCATATAGAAAATATATTTCTATAAAGTACATTAATACAGAAATTTGAAATGTATAACAGATCCTGTTATACATATGTATATATGATTGCCCACTTGGGTTTTTTGTTATGGCATTAGAAGGTCTTACAGGCTATCATATCAAGACTACCTATTTTACTACCCATGAACAACTGCAGAAATTTTGTGAGAACCTGATTAAATGCCTGTATGTTTCTCCTTCTTTCTCTTTTCAAGGGTCTGCTTGATATAGATCACAGTACCTATTTCTGTATCTGTTTTGCTGACATATATATGCTTCCTCTAGAACCAGGGAATACTTAGCTCTCTTTTATTCCCGAATGACAAGTCATCAATGCTACTTGCATTGTCCCGTTTAATAAGTGAGGTCACATCAAGTACATTATATCCCCTAGGCAGCAAAAATTTAACAGCTCCATAAATGTGTCAAGATGACAAAAACCTCATAAAGTTGATATAAATTTGAGTGACCACTATTCTAGATTTTCCCACAGGTATCAGTAAAATTACTTTTTTCCTTTCTTTTTTTTTTTTCTTTTTATTAACAGCTTCCTGAGTAACCGCACAGGAGAATACTTAAATTATAGTACAGTGCATTTCAATTTGTTTTAGAAAGCATTTTAAATAAATTGATATCCATATCCTGTACAACATGCTGTTGGCAGCCTTTTTTGTTTTGTTCAGTAACTGAGGTACAAATTTTAAATAATCAGAGTAAAATTTTACAGGATATGGATAAAAAAGTAAGACTATTTAGTTATTGAAAACAAACAATAAAAAATGTCATATCTTTCAGAGCTTCAGTATTGCCTATTCAACTCCCCCCTTCCCCAAAGAAAAAAAAGAATACTCATAAAACTAAAACTTGGACCTGAATTCCAAAGTCCTTGGTGTTCACAAGAAATCAGTAAGTGTCAGTGACACAAAGTTGGTTACTTTTTACATTTCTTCTTGGGAATTTTAAGGATTACTGTTAAAAGAAAACTTGGACAGCCTTAAAACACTATAGAAAATGAGATGACCGAATAACAGTCTAAGATCCTTATTAAAATAAAGAACTAATATGGTATGCAACACTGTCTTCAAATCACAGACTAAAAAATAACATGATAAAAGATACTCACTTTTACTTTTTTTTTTGTGTCTTCCTTTTCTTGAATTTTATCCCATGTTGTGAAGAATTGGGACAATAGCAAAGAATTTTACTCTTTTTGTTCTCTCAGCATTTCATTTCTTGAATCACAACAATCCAATAACATTACTATAGAATCACAGAATATCCTGAGTTGGAAGGGACTCACAAAGATCGTCTGAGTCCAGCTCCTGGCCCTGCACTGGACAGTCCCAAGAATCCCATCATGTGCCCAAAAACCTTTTCCAGACAATTCTTGAACTCTGGCAGGCTTGGGGCCATGGATCACTTCCCTGGGGAGTCTATTCCAGTGCTCAATCACATTCTGGGTGAAGAAGCTATCCCTTGATCAGCTGGCAATGCTGTGCCTGATGCTCCCCAGGACAGCATTGGCCCTCCTGGCTGCCAGGGCTCTGCTGACTCATATTCAACTTGTCAACTAGAACCCCCAGGTCCCTGTTTGTGGTGCTGCTCCCCTGCCTGTCATTCCTCAGTCTGTCTGTACATCCAGGGTTGTCCCATCCCAGGTGCAGAATCCAACACTTCCCCTTGTTGAAACTTCCTATGGTTGGCGATTGCCCAGTCCTATAATTTGTTGAGGTCTTTCTGCAGGGCCTTCCTTCCTTCCTTTGAGGGAGTCAACAGCTCCTCCCAGTTTTGTGTCATCTGCAAACTTGCTAAGTATCCCTTCCAGTCCTGCATCCAAGTGATTTATGAAGATGTTGAAGAGCACAGGGCCTAAGATGGAGCCCTGTGGAACCCCACTAGTGACAGTTTCCAGTCTGATGTCATCCCATTCACTATTACCCTCTGTGTTTGATCCGTGAGCCAACTGCTCACCCATCACATGACGTTTTTTATCCAGCTGTGCTTTTCACAAAACTGATCCAGAAGTTTTATGAATTATGCCATGACTAGTGAAAATCAGTACTAAGTGACCAATTGCTCTTATTTCATATCTGAAAATACATAACTGTAAAACAGTGCAATTTTTATTCAAAATTCTGAGAAGGTTAAATTTCTGTCTTCTTCAAGACACTGTACACTTGATGACACCCTGACAGCATGAATCAAACATAGATTCCCTTACATATAAGTAGAAGGATTTTACCTGTCTGCCTTTTTAGTCCAATTTTAATTTTTCTTTTGATGGTATTTTATTACTATTTTAGCTTTTTTTTTTGTAAAAGCCTCTTTTGCTTCACTAATCAATAGGCTTGACACCATCAACAGAAATTCTTATGTTGCCATTTTGATGGATCAGTGAAAAGAATCTTGTCACATGAGTTACCTATATAGAAATATTCCATACAAAGACGTTTAAAATAGAAATTATTTTTAAATGGTATAAGATAATAT